TTCAATTTATTCTAAATATTTTGTACATTATTGCTTTTATGCATGCAATATTTTTCCCTTTTCAAGTTCTAGGTGCTGATGACATACAGAAAAAGCTAATGACTTTTTATACTTACCCTCTAACCAACCACCTCAACTTTCTTATATTAATTCTATTGAATAGTAGCTTATAATTAGATTCTCCTGGGTTTTCTAGGTATAAAATCACAACATCTGCAAAGAAATATAGCTTTATCTCTTTCCAAAGTTTATACCACTCATTAAACTTTGTTTTTTATTTCATTAACTAAAATCGCCAAGAGAGCAGTGAACAGCAATGGTGATGGTGGGCACCTCTATTTCCTGATTTCAATGTAAATGGTTTTGATGTTTAGCTATTCAGTATATTTGCTATTACATTTTGGTAAGTAATTTTTATTATATTCAATGCTATTTTACATACAAATTTTTGCTAGGAATGGCAGTTAAATTCTACCAAAAGTCTTTTTCAGTGTTAAAGATCATTATATGGCTTTTCCCTTTCAGTCTGTTGATGTGTGAATTATGCTGGCAGATTTTACAATACTGAACTCTGTTTCACTGGTGAAGTTTACACTACTGGATACTATACCTTCCTTGGTAATAGGATATCATTTTTCTAATATATTGCTAGGTTATACTTGGCAATATTTATTTAGAATTTCATATTTGTATGTGATATGCATTTGCAGTCTAGAGTTTTGGGTTTTGTTTTTTTTTTTTTTTTCGGTACCCTGGCCTCTCACTGTTGTGGCCTCTCCCGTTGCAGGGCACAGGCTCCGCACGTGCAGGCTCAGCGGCCATGGCTCATGAGCCTAGCTGCTCCGTGGCATTTTTGCGGTACGCTGGCCTCTCACTGTTGTGGCCTCTCCCGTTGCGGAGCACAGGCTCTGGACGCGCAGGCTCAGCAGCCATGGCTCACGGGCCCAGGCGCTCTGTGGCACGTGGGATCCTCCCGGGCCGGGGCACGAATCCCGTGTCCCCTGCATCGGCAGGCGGACTCTCAACCACTGAGCCACCAGGGAAGCCCTAGAGTTTTGTTTTTTATATTACATTCCTCAAATCTCATATGCTGGCTTCGTAAAAAATTTTTCACCTTTTTATGTGTCTTGGAAGAGTCTGAATGTCATTGGAATGATCTGTTCTTTTAAAGTTGAAGAATAGTTCAGCTGTGATCCTGGCTGGACCTCATCTTCCAGTCTCTTTTACTGTATGACCTATTCAAATGTTCAAATTTTCCTGGGTGCATTTTGATAATCACTAGCTAAGAAATCATCCAGTTACTCCAGAGTTTCAAACGTGTTGCTATAGAAATGCCTGTATTATTCTCTCTTGTCTTAATTTTAAAAAAAAACAACTTCTCCCACATCTTTAGTTAGTTTTCCTCACTTGCTTAGTAATTAAGGTTAAAATGCATATATTTAAGAGAATGGGTAAATGGTGACATCATTAAAAGAGACCAAGAACAAAGAGAAAAGAAGACTGGGGGGAGTGCGAGTTGATATGGTGAAGGATAACCAGGTGGAATCCACTTCCAGCTTGGAGCTGAGATTTGAACCTGCAGTGAGGCAGAAACAACCAGGGTACCATCCAGATAACAGAAGTCACCAAGAGAAAAAGTGCAAAATGGGAAGAGAATCATAGCTGAAACACAGGGGAATCTCAACACTCAAATGGAAGGCAGAGAGTAAAAACCTGATAGAAGATGAAGCACTGAGACATAAAATCCAGGACAGACTGATGTATCAGGATACAAAGAGAGAGCAAGTGATGAAGGAGGAGGAGAGAAGAAAGGAGGGGAGGACAAGGAAGGGAAAGAAGAGGAGGCGGAGGAGGGGAAGAGACAGTCATCACCTCAACTGAGAGATCAGACCAGATAGGTGACTGTGGACACAGGGACGAGAACAAGGAGACAAGGCCAAAGAGGTGAAGGGTCACTTCCACAGGGGGTTGAATGCGGATCAGGATTCCTGAGTGGGCCCAGGTCTGTCACTAGAGGAGAAAGAAGAATTAAGAAAGCTCCAAGTTCTTACGGGGATATTCAGGTGATGGTGAAGTTTACAGTAAAGAGACACTTGTGTGCAGATTTGCCCATGTTAAGTGGTTTCTCCCTTGATATGTAGTGGAGATGGGGAAGGCAGGTGTACGAGAATAACCTGTATTACCGAGACACCGTGAAGAAGACCCAAATGACTACAGGTTGATATTAAAATACTCCCCTATGAATACCATGCTATCAGTCATCAAATTAACATCCATCTGTATGAGTTGGCAATATCCTCTTCATAAAAAGATTAACTACATATTTCCCTTGATGTTTGCTTCTCTGTATCTTAGAGACATCCCCTGTAATCTGGTGAATATAATAGACCTCCAGTTGTTACTGCTGCTTTCATTAATTTAATTAATTCTGTCCATCAGAATTTAGAGTTTCCTCTACTCAAGACATCCCCTGCTGGACTTCAGTTAATGGACATACTTAAAATATTATTCAAGATTGTTGAGGGACTTCCCTGGTGGTGCACTGGTTAAGAATCCGCCTGCTAATGCAGGGGATACGGGTTCGAGCCCTGGTCAGGGAAGATTCCACGTGCTGCGGAGCAGCTAAGCCGGTGCGCCACAACCACTGAGGACTGTGTGCCCTAGAGCCTGAGCGCCGCAACTACTGAGCCCACGTGCCACAACTACTGAAGCCCATGTGCCCAGAGCCTGTGCTCCGCAACTAGAGAAGCCACCGCAATGAGAAGCCCACGCACCACAACAGAGAGTAGCCCCTGCTCGCCACAACTAGAGAAAGCCCTCACACAGCAACAAACACCCAATGCAGTGCCCCCCCAAAAAAGAGATTGTTTGTTCTCTTGACACTGAAAGTGTTTAAAATAAATTATTCCCCAAATCATATCTTAACCTCACAGCTTGCTAACCTTTCAAAACACGAATCATTCTCAGGGAATGTAAGTTTAAAATCCATGAAGGAACACTGAATTTCAGTTCATTAGCAGACCATCTGGGGCAAAACAGAGTACTTTCATTAGTTGAATGATAAATTAGCACTGTTTAAAGAAAATTTTTAATGTAAAAACATCTAGAATGGTTTTGTGAAATTAAATTCCTGAAAAGCATATTCAAAGCAGCAGCAAAGATTTCATTAGTCCCCATCAGCCTCTCTGCCGCTGAGCTCTTTAGGACTCTTTCGTTATGAGAGCCCCTTGGTCCTGACTAGAATGTTAATGCTGTGTACATGCAACAGGAAAGTGCCATAACTGTAGACCTCATGACTAAAAAACGCTAAAATAAATAATAATGCTCAATAATGGTGCCATTCCCTTAGCAACAGGTACACGATAATTCCCATTTCCTGCAAGGAGGCTCAAAGTGATTCTGCAACTTAGAACTTGTGGAGGCAGAATAACAGCCCCCAAAGATGTCCCTACCCTAGTCCCCAGAAACTGTGAACATGCTATGTTATATGGCAAAAGTGATTTTGCTGCTGTGATTAAGCTTCTTGAGATGGGGAGATCATCTTGGCTTATCCATGTGGGTCCAATATAATCACAGGGGTCCCTGAAAGTGCAGAAGTTTTCCCGGCTGTGGTCAGAGGAAGATGTGACTATGACAGAAAAACCCGAGAGATGCTCCTTTGCTGGCTTTGAAGACAGAGGAAGGGGCCACGAGCCAAGGAGTGCAGGTGACCCGTAGAAGCTGGAAAAGGCGGGAAACAGTTCCTCCCCTCGAGCCTCTGGAAGGGACGCAGCCCTGCCCACTGACTTTAGCCCAGTGGGACCCATGTCAGGCTTCTAACCCAAGGAACCAGAAGACAACAAACTTCTGCTGTTGGAACTGCTAAGTCATGGTTACAGGAAACTAACACTGAACTGTAATCAGGAAAAATTGATATTTAGTAAACTGTTCAAACTCACTACCAAAACGTTTCTAAATGCTCAACAAATGGATCAAATAATCATATTTCATTAGGCTGAAAAATAAGTAGGAATCCACAAATAATAAAATAGCTTAGGACAAGAGGTATCACATAGCGTTTACTGTATCTCTGATTTGAACAGAGGTTCACTGTATAAAATACAGAAATTATAAAAGAACTTTAAAAACACATCCATAGCTAATATTTTCCTGTCCCATTAAGCTGATGCTTGGGAAACTAATTTATAACAGCACATGTTGTCTACAAAAACCTTGCACTATCCTAGCATTTTCTGTACAGAAAGCTTATGATGTTAACTCTCCAAAATAGGTTTAAATATAGTCATAAAGCTTCGGGCTGGGAGGTAGCTAATAAATCAACTAATCATTCTAAATATGAAAGGAGAGATTTCCCCAAGGTTTAGTTTTGGCATAAATGTCTTATTTCATGGCTCCATCACTCTGATAAGCCATAAATGTGCACTAATTTAAATAGCTGGTTTCAATTCCCAAGGATCCTTTCTGTGCTTTAAAAATCATCAATAAAATATAGCTTCCTTGTCAAACTACATCCTGAATTATCGAATTCAGACTTCCTATTATAAAAAATTAATTATGACAACTATCAGCAAAAAATAATTTCTCCAAAGATACCAAGCCCTGTGAAGACAATTATAGATAATTAAAGTACAAAGAAAACGGCAAACCATAGGCTCATCTTGGTAAAATACTTTTCAACACACAGCAAAATTAAAATAGCAGTGTCATAAACCTCTAAAACCTGGCTTTCTATAGCTTTATGCTTAATTGCATAAAGCAACATATGCAACGTCTCCATCACAGAGACCGATCCATGCTGGGTAGAAAGTGTGCGTCCAGAGTTCTGTGCGGGGTCCCGGCCCTGGGGGCTCCGTCTGAGACCCTCACTGGCTTCTCCTCCTCTCCCCACGGCGGGGCGGGTATCCTCAGCCTTCTGCTCAACGTACGCCCCAGAGAGGTCTCCCTGCACTCACAGGTTCACCACTACCTACACACCTGACGATCCCTTCCACCCCTCTCACCAAACCCCTGGAATGTTCCGCAGACCCTCAGTCTCCACACGAAAGCCCAGCCTCGTCCCTTGAGTGCAAACCCCGCGTTTCTAAGGTCAGTGAGCAGCATCCACACTGGCTCTGGCGGTGGCTCCTCCAGCCCCTGAAGTCGGCCACCCACCAGTCCCACGGCTCCGCCCTCTGGGATCTGTGGAGTCTGCTCGGCCTGTGAGAGCCCAGCAGGCCTGTCTCATGGGCACCCGGCTCCCTCCACCCCCTCGTCTGCCCACACATACTCCAGCCCTCTCCAGGGACAGCCCAAGTCCCGATGTCCACATGGCGTAGCACAGCACCCACGGTCCTTCCCCACCGGCCTCCCCAGCTCTCGGCCTCATCAACCACTTTCTCTAGTCACTTCTGTAAACACGTATGCAGGACCCACTACGTGCTGGGCTCTATGGACACAACCGTGGACAAAAACAGGCATGAGGCCTCACTCTCAAGCATTAAAACCTAATGGAGAAATAATCCAAAATACAATTATGAACCGAGTGCTTTTACAGAACATAGGGCCTTGAGAGCACAGAACAGACCGCCCAGCCTAGTCCAGGGGTCAGGAGGGGAAGCCTTCCTGACACACGGCTCAAAAGCCCAAACCCAAGGGTCAGCGGGCATTAGCAACACCTGGACACAATGATCAGGCCAAAGGCGGCCCTAGAGGGACAGGCAGGGAGCAGAGCGGGCGTGGGGCACTGGGGCAGCACCCCAGGAAACAAGGCCAGTGCTGCCAGAGCATGAGGGGTGAGTGGGCACACAGCTGAGACCAGGCCGAGGAGGGGAAAGGGCAGAGTCTGTGTGTGTGAGGCCTTGGCAGGGTCTGCCCGGATCCTGTCCACCAGGCAACAGGAGGCATCTGAAAGGTTTCAAGCAAAGCAGGGTGGACGTGTGGACAGGATGAGGTGGGTCAGGTCATCTCGAGTGCAGGTCTGAGGACATCGGTGGGGGCGTCCAGGTGACGGATGACAGCATGGATGCGGGTGGATTTCCCCTGGGCATTACAACTTGGGGCTTTACGTTGAAATGCAAGGGAGGGAGGGGCGGGGAGAAGAGTAAGGAGTGCCCGTTAAGGAAGATGAAAAGATAGCAAGGCTGGAGGAATATCCCAGAAGCAGAAGCCACCGCCCTGCTGGCAGAGAGCTCACAGGAAGTGAAAAGGACACGGCGTCGAGGGGGCCGCCCGGGTCGGCGTGGGCACCTGACGGGCAGGCCAGCCATCCAGCTAGTGAGCGTGTTCATCCCTCTAGGACCGCCGGGCGTGGGCTCTGCCAAGACGAGAATGACTTGAAATCAAATATAAGATCCCTTTATCCCCAAATAATTGCATGGTCAAGTTTTCTGAAAGTTTGTCTATTTCTATAACCCTATATACCTTCTAAATCTGCCCAACTTACTGAAGACCAAACCCAATCATGTCCCCAGGCTCTGCATTCCCATTGCAACAGTCACAAAATATTGGCCAAAATCTTCTGTTTTTATTGATGGTGCTTTTCCAAAAAATTATTTTCTACACATTGCTACATCTCAAAGAGGATTTGCAGGAAAAGCCTGGGAGAACCATGTTGTACTGTTTCCAGCTATGTAACAGAAGAAAAGCCAGATGAGTTTTTAAAGGTTTAAACTTCACACCCGTCTATTCCTTTAAAAAAATAAGTTCTTCCTTAAGTAGGATAAAGACAATTTTTTTTACGAGTGCTTCACCTAATGCTAATTCTCTAGAGTAAATAATTTTAAAACAGTCCCTTAGGAATCTCCTAAGCAAAATATGAGCCTATATAAAAAGAACCTGAAATTACTAAGACTAATACATAAATTCCCGATTTAAGCTGTTCAAGAAGAATACATTTGCTGAGTATTTACCAAGAGCCAAACACACTCTATAAACATTTTCTCATTTAATCCTGACAATTTTATGGGGTAACAGGTATTACTATTCCCATTTCACAGGGAATAAAATTGAGGCTTAGAGAAGTTAAATAACTTGTTGGATGTCACACGGTTAAGTGGCAAAACCAAAATTCAAAAGAGGTCTGTTTGAGTCTGACCGCACGTTCTGCATTTCCTTTCATATAATCAAAAGAAGTCATTTTTCAAAAAGAACAACTAAAAGTTTGGACTTCTAAATATAACATTTATGGTGGGCTCAAGGCAAAACCGTGGCTGAGTATCCAGGCCCAGGCCATCTGCCCATAGCTGCCTGCCTGTCTGCATCGGGCTCGAACATCAGGGAAGCCTCTGTGTGCTGCGCTGCGGTGTCTGCACTAGGAATGAGGAGCTTTCTTAGAGGAAATCTTTTTATTTTTAAATAGGGTTCAATTATGCATATGGAAATCAGTAGAAAATTGACTCTAGTCATGAACATTCCAGGTAAATTTCTAAGAAATTCATCTATGCTATAAAGTGAGCTACCATACAAATACAGCTTTGCACTTGACCGCTACAACAATCAATAAGTTTAGCAAAACAACAAGAGTACATCACTGATTCCTATCTCTCCCTGGTTTTTGAGAGAAATCCACCAGTGTTCTCCAGAGGCCCCAGCATCAGACCCATGTTGGTCCCAGGCATCCAGACTCAAAACACAACAGTCATATTAACTCTCCCCTGGGCTTCACGACTCTGGGACTGATACCCAAATGCAGTGGAGGAGGGTCGGCAGCAGGGTCTGGGGGGGATGAGGCTTCATGGCGGAATTTAGGTCCGAAGTGGGCGGCGACTGAGGAAATGCCACATGCACAGAGGGCAGGGTGGGACCTCTCAGGCACCCCCCACGCCAGGAGCCCTGGCCACCACCCACCCATGCGCCGTGGCCGTGAAGGGGGGATGGCCACCGGAAACAGGAGCAGGGGCCCACACTCAACTGCCTCACCTGTCTTTTCCCCGTTTCCACCTCAGGGCTGCTCCTGGCCTCCTGGCCTCCTCTTCCAGGTGGGCCTCGTGCCTCCCTCCTCCTTCCTCCTCCTCCTGGCCGTCTCCTTCCCCCGTCTGTCCCTCCCTCCCCTTCTGAACAACTCCGTCCTAAAGCCATTACATGGGCCCATTACGTGGGCACAGGGGAGGCATCCATGGGGGAGCACTGGGTGGGAGAGGGGGAGCTCAGCACACAGACCTCCACCACGGCGGGGGCGGGGGGGGTAGTCACCACCGAGGGGGTGGGTGGGCGAATCCCGAAAAAAGTGTTGAGGGCACCACCCAGGACGATGACCCCGAGTGGGAAGTCGGACCCTGAGTGGGGCAAGGAGGGCACCCCTGGAAGGGCCGCCTGGTGCAGAGCATCGGGTCTGAAGCCCGATGAGCATAAGGAAGGTGTCCCACACCTTCACCCCCGCAGAGGCTGTTGGCCCGGCATCTGGGGATGCAGCCCGGAGGGCGGGGCCTGAGTCCAGGAGGGGTCGGCGGCAGCGACAAGAGGACCAGAATACAGAGGAGGGTGAGCGAACAGGCAAACACACAGGGTAACAGCAGCCGCACTGCTCGCTGTCAAAAACCAAGACTCAAATACTTAAATGCAGGGCTTCCTTGGTGGCGCAGTGGTTGAGAGTCTGCCTGCCGATGCAGGGAACACGGGTTCGTGCCCCGGTCTGGGAGGATCCCACATGCTGCGGAGCGGCTGGTCCCATGAGCCTGCGCGTCCGGAGCCTGTGCTCCGCAACAGGAGAGGCCACAACAGTGAGAGGCCCACGTACCGCAAAACAACAAAACAAAACAAAACAAAAAACTTAAATGCAGAAAACTAGAGTGAATCCTGTGGGATCAGGATGGAATTGGAGGTATCACTGTGAATTCAGGGATTTCAGTATACAGAGATAGACTGACATATAAAACTCAACAGTGCCAGAAAGCCTGTGTATGTACATATATGCAATGCATAAATCTCTGTGTGTATAAACGCACAAACAGATGTTACTCAGGGAGTAACAGAGACATCACAAAGACACCAAAACCAACTTGCAGGGGTCCTACTGACCAAACTGGGGTCCGTTTGCGCACCAAAATAACAGAAATTGATTTAAATTCAATGAATAAAATAAGGAGCCTTTAAGTCCACATTAAAATAAATAAATAGGGACTTCCCTGGTGGTCCAGTGGTTAAGACTTCACCCTCCAATGCAGGGGGGTGCAGGTTTGATCCCTGGTCAGGGAGCTAAGATCCCACATGCCTCATGGCCAAAAAAACCAAAAAACATAAAACAGAAGCAATATTGTAACAAATTCAGTAAAGACTTTAAAAATGGTCCACATCAAAAAAATCTTTAAAAAAAATTAAATTAAATTAAATACATAAATAGAAAATTTGGTGAAAAATAGAATATTTATACCTTTTAATTACCTCTCTGTAAAACACTTATTATTTCAAAAAAACTGTAACTTTACAGTTGACAAACCTGTCAGACACCATTTCACCATCAAGAGATAAAAGTTATCAGCAGAAACTGGACAAATCAAAATCATGTGCAACTGGTCATGCCACCGGAAGAAAAAGCACCGCTTCTGTGATATTCCCCCAGAGATGCAGAACCTGAATCTAATCATGAGGAAATACTAGACAAATCCAAAATGAGGGGCGTTTACAGACTAAGTGGCCTGTTACCTCCACAAGTGTCAAGGTCCTGCCAGTCCAGGGAAGGCTGAGGAACTGGTCCAGACTGGAGGGACAGACGACTAAACACGGTGTGTGCTCTGAGCTGGGTCCACCATTGCCAAGGGCATTATCAGGGCAGCTCTGATGGCTGACTGGGGTCTGCAGCCTGCATGGCAGGAGCCTCCCACTTTGAATGGCTTGCCCTAGTCGTGTCAGGCGTGGTCTTGTTTGCAGGAAACACATACTGAAGTATCTGAGGTATCAGGCTGGCAAACTGCTCTCTGATCGTCGGGAAAAATTCCTTAAACCATACTTGCAACTTTCCCATAAGTTTGACATAGTTTCCAAAAAGTTTTAATGTATTTAGGAAAACAAAAAATGCTTTCACTCTGCAGTGTGAAGGAAGCAGTTATTAAACATAGGCAGCTAATAAGCCACTTATCCATATAAAACATTTCACATGAAATAGGGTAGGTTCAAATGAATATTGAAGTGCCCCCAAAGGAGCAGCTTTAATCTCAGTAGCAAAAGGTAATTATGCTGAACAAAAATCAAATATACTTTAAAAATGGAAAGCACATTCGTGGCAAGGATCCTTTGGTTCAATCTCAAAAGGAAACAAAAGTCTCTGGTTTGAGAAGCGTGCAGGAAGGGAGGATGGGGTTCCACTTAGGCAGGAGACAGAAGCTGGACATCTCCAGGCCCACCCTCCTTAGAACTCGGCAAAGCCCCCAGGGCTTGAAGGCTTCACACGTCTCCACCGGAAGTAAGTGCTGCTCTGTGACATTTTCTTCTGCTAAATCAATCTAAAAATCAGGGTACTCAGTCCCCTTTCCAGAGTTCAAGATTCTTACTGCCCACTAGGGATCCCTAATGACAGGGTGTAGAGGCTCCTCTGCAGGACAGACTGGGAGCATAAATAATCTGCAGGCTCCTCAGCAAGTTCTCTACTGAAGTAAAAGTTTAGGACGGTGTCTGCTTTCATATACTGTTAAAGGATTCATAGAATTAAAGAATTTTTTTCAATACATATAATTGACAGAGTTTATTATCAAGAAACTTCAGTAGGTTTTTAAAAAGACTGTGCTGGTTTTACAACACTGAAAGATGACAATCCAAGACAGGACATACATAAAAAAGGATAATTAAAATATTAAGTACCGGGCTTCCCTGGTGGCTCAGTGGTTGAGAGTCCGCCTGCCAATGCAGGGGACACGGGTTCGTGCCCCGGTCTGGGAAGATCCCACATGCCACGGAGCGGCTGGGCCCGTGAGCCATGGCCGTTGAGCCTGCGCGTCCGGAGCCTGTGCTCTGCAACGGGAGAAGCCACAACAGT